AAGATCAAGAGCCCAAATTTGTTCTTCAGTACGGATATTAAAGCATGGTGGTCATAATGTAAGCATGTTAAAACATATTCTCTGCTCTATACAAGTTTAGGACCTGTCTCTATCAATCAGGCATGGACATCTTACGAATCTATCGTATCGAATGCCCAGTGGTGCTACTCGATTCGACGGCCTGGCGTTCGACTCGAGTGCAGTCATATGTGATTCGCTTCGAATCTGGCGCGTGTCCCATAGATTCGACATCGAATCATACAACAGCCATTCGAGTCGATGCCAAGGCTTCATGAAATTCGACTCGAACTCGAAGCGAATTCGATCGAGCAGTCATTAATGCCTGTCAAAATGGAGGCCACAAACTATCGTGATTCGTGACATGTGATCGGCCAGCAGTACACTGTCAAGGCTCTTTTTACAATAAACTGTCGTGATTCGTGACCTGTGGTCGGCCAGCTGTACACTGTCAAGGCTCTTTTTACAAGCTTCCTGAAGTACATCATGGAGCAGGAAACATGGGATCATGTCTTCACATGGTTTCATGAGTGCGTAAGCCTTGTTGAACGTGATTGAACGTCACGGTGGAACACAGATGAAAAGAGTGCGTTGATTCTGTAAGCTAGAGATGCCGCCAAGGCACGCTATTTATGGAATATGGCAGGCTATAGGGGTCACTGTTGCAAAACCCCCAAAACCGCGACGAGAGTGCCAAATTCGGTTAGCCTGCGCCAGTGCTTGAGTTCAACAAACTTGCCTTGGCCCAGCCCATTACACATCAGTCAACAGATGTTGTGGAGGATAATCAATTCATTGAAAATGGGGACTAAAGATCAGGGGTCGCTCCCGTTCTTCAGTGACGCCAATACACCAACCCATTCATCATCACTTAGATCAAACAAGGGCAGCGAAGGCTTGTAAATCCCAGCCTTGCTCCATGAGCGGATACACTGAGCCATAACCATTCTCTCCCTGGCCAACCTGCCTCTCAACGGTGCCGTCATCAGTCCTGCACTGCTAAACGTCCTCTCACTCTCTGCAGACGATGAGGGGATACTGAGCATATCAACAGCCATAATGGATAACCGAGGGTAGCGGTAGGCGTTGGTTTTCCACCAATCGACCGGTCTGCTCCTGTAGTATTGACTGTTGACGATATCCTCAGCACAGTACCTGGAATATTCGTCATCCATCGCTGTCTCAGCTGTCGTCTGTTTCGCCTTTCTGGTGGTCTTGCCGGGATGGGAGGCGGCGCCAAGTGGATTCTTGCCATATGCCGAGCTGGCGGTGCTCCTTGCAAGCCTGCGCTCGATGTAATCCATTGGGGCTTCATCGCTTGTGTCGAGGGTGATATTTCCAACATTACGCCCCCTATAATCGTTCTCCCAGATCTGCAGGAGCTTCTCTTCGTAATCAGCTCGCCAGCCCTGCGCCTTACGAGTAGGGACTCGAGGCCACAGTTGGTCGAGAAAACGCCACTTCTTTGCAGGGTTAAAGATAACGGCGCCCGCATATGCACCACTCGTCAGAAGAGCATAGTACTTGTGAAGTTTCTTCCACCCCAGTTTAATAAAAACCTTGAACAATCCCCGAGTTCTGTTATCAAGTCCCTCGTAAATGGCAACCTCGACATCAGTCCTCTTCTTGGTCGCCGGGCCCTCCATTTCCTCGTAGATGGTGCCTTCGATGGCAGTTTCGAGATGGTCGAGAAGCATCTCGAAAACAGGTAAATACTCGTCGAAACTGCCACAAGTCGATCTCTCACCGGGGACACCGCTGCCCTGAAGCTGCTTTGTGGCAATTTCAAAAGGCTTTAGAAGCTTGACCAGCATCTCGATAACCTTCCAGTCGTACCCACTTAGCCGATACTGAAGAACCGCTGGCTTGGTGTTCTCACAAGCACCCTCAGATTCCCAGCGGTTCTGAACGTCATTGAAAAATGTATTAAGTGCCGGACGGAGGCGGAGAGCTCTCTCCATCATGCGCTTGTCTGAGTCCCATCGGGTGGCATTGTTAAATACCCAGTGGAGTGTTGATTCCCTGCCGGATTCTTTACGTTGAGACTGCAGAAATTGCTCATACAATTGTGGACTCCCTCGCAGTTGAAGCCCAATATTATGCAGCATTCCCGCCGCGCCACTCCGGCTATACTTCCTGAACGTGGTATCATTAATCTCTTCCGGAGCCGGGTGGGAAGATGTGAAGTCTTCGGTTGGGTTAATAACAGCAACACCGGGCCATGTCTCGTCTTCGTCATCCTTCATCTCTCTATCCAGCACCTCGTCAATAGCTTGATCTACCCGTTCCTCCACATCGTCCTCATCGCCGCCATCAGCTTCGACAATCGCAGCTAAATTGTCCCGCTTGGAACCATAGAGCGTGGCCCGCACGCTGAGGTTGATGGCATGGCAAGCACATCGGATCCGTCGCTCTTCAGAAGAGAAGCCGTACTCAAATGCGAGCTCCTTGATGTATGTATTATTGTTTGCTGCGTTGTCGAGAGTAAAGTACCCAATCTTTTCAGAATCGATTTGCCAGAATGCAAGCGTATCCGCTACTTCGTCAGCAAGACATGCGCCAGTATGTCGTCCGCTAAGGGGTCGAAGCCCAAGGAGGATTCGGTGCTGGGCGAAGTCGCTATCAACAAACTGCGCGTTGATCCCAAGGAATGACACGTAGGATTTCGACGTCCAGCCGTCGAAGGAAAAATGTATTTGAGATCGAGCAGTCTGCAATACCTCGGTCACTGGTCCAATAGCGCCTCTGTACTCAGATTCGAGCATACGAAAAAGTGTCTTCGCAGAGGGGAGATGGGTCTTATCGAGCAATGGGTTGCCGTAAAGGAGGATGCGCTGGAACCGCTCAGTATTCACAATCTCAAACGGTAAGTTGTAATATGTAATCCAGTCGAGAAGCAGAATCCGAAGACCCTTGATGTTGAATTGTCCGCGTAGGTTACTGATGAGAAACTGATCATTCGGATTACTGAAATCGGCATGGAGGAAGCGCGTGATAGTCCGGTTTTGCAATAATGAGTCCCCCGCGCAATGATCAGCTTCCTTGGGAGACTGTTCACGTCAGCGCGTTTCATTGCCGTCACACCGTGGACCATGGTACATACAAAAATGCCGTGGATTGTGCGAAGGTGTTTCTTGATAGAGGCCCCTGTTGAGCAGACGAAGCAGAAATCCGACTTTTTCTTAAAGCCTCGGGCAACGCAATCTGCGCAAATCCACTTCAGCTTATTGCCAGGCCGTGAGATAGAACGGTCCTCAACTCGATACCCGTATTGCTGCCACCATGCCCTCGTGTCTTGGCCGCCGGTATAGCGTTCAAACCCGGGCCATTTTGCCCACTCCTGGCGGCCCCAAAGTGACCAATTGACAGCGATAAAGTCGACGGCAGTACCACGAGGACGCGGTGATGGTGTTGTTGGTAAGGAGACTCCCGAAGATGAGACGGCAGGCGAAGAGGAGTGCTCCTCACATGGCGGCGACTCGTCAAGTTGGCTCAATGGCGAAGGACTGAAAGCAGGCCCCGAGAACATCGTGGTTCAGGTAATTAGTCGTGTAGATCGGCCATAAGGTAAGGATTTTGTCGAACTTTTTGGAAGCCATGTCAGCTGCGCAGGCGATGGGCTTAAAATCAGTCCATCGCCTGACGGGCACGGGAAGGTAACGAGACGCGTTATTCGCGCACATCATGATGCAGTCAACGCAACGTACGCGTGAATTACCAGTGTCGTTGGAGTTGATACATCCTGGACGGTCAACGAGCAGTGGCCGGCGGTCGGTTGATGGGATGGTTGGCGCGTTCAGTTGACGCGGGTGAAGATGACGAGTAAAGAGGCGTTGTACTCCAGTCCCGATCATTGGTACAGGAAGCACCGTTGCCCCAAAGACTGCTGGGGGGGCAGCAAGCCACGCTCCATATAATCCTCGTCTCATTTTGCGGCAACTGCCCCTATTGGGCAGGCGCCAACTTCAGCAGTTTCATCCCCACGTAGACTTTCAATGGACTCTCGAGCCCGTTTGTTATCTAACGCCGGTGAGATGGAAAAGAGACATTTGGGACTCCAAAAACTGTCATCACGGCAATGAGGTAATGGGATGAGGTCACTGACACTTTGGTTTGTAGGTGAGGCTGGTTTGGTTCTTAGTACCAGTGACAAATAATAAGTAAATCATCAGAGATGAAGACAAGACATATGTAGGTAACCTTCAAATCAAAGCAATGCAAGCCGTCATGCCAAAGTGAGTTCAGA